GTTAATCGTCTGATCATTTTTAGAAGCGCCGTCCCGAGTCAGACCACCCCCAGAAGGCTCAGTACGTCTCGCCTGGGAAGGTCTGGGAGGTGTCAAGCTTGTTGTCGCACATCGTAATCCAGACCCCAAAGTTGATTCACTGGCAGAAGAATGGCCAGTCACACCAATGGAGTCTTTAATAATGGGGCGATTAGCCCGTTTTTCAAGTTCACCAGCAGGGATGTCAGCAGCAGAACAAACTTTTTTTCTTTTTCGGTCTCACCTCTTTGTCTTTCCCCTTGTCCAAGCTTTTCCTTTTAGAAGGAAGGATGGTCTGAGTCTGAGGCGCCACACCCTGCTTGGCCCTCACTTTAGCTGCTGCATCACGCGCAAGCTTCAACGCATCGGTCCCCATGCTTCCAACTACAAACAACAAGACAAGTCAGCACAAACACAAGAAAGAGCAAACACAAGAAACAACAGTATAGATCGCCACAAATAAAAACAACACTGAACGCCACCACACCTCCATGGCACAACACTTGCTTCGTGGGCCACCGGTCAAGACCCCCCTTCACTTCCAAAAACCAATTGATCGCATGTACCTCCCCAAAAGATAGGACCCCTAGAGCAAACGAGTACTGACCGGTTGGCGTCTCGTAATGAGCCTTAGTCCAATATAGGGGAAACCGACACTCCCCACTCGACGGATCAACAAAGAAAGGAAGCTCGCCCTCGCCAAACACTGGTTCAATCCAAAAGAAGGTAGCGTCCAATTCTTATAAGAGTTGGCGTATTGGGCAAATATTGATCCAATCACATTGCCCGCCTTCAATGAAACCCAGCCGAGCTTCGTCTTCTTGGTTGGCGACACTTGAAAACAGTAGAAGAATTATCTTACAGAGTAGGCCATATCGAAATACTTGCATATACTCTCGAAAACTCTGACAAACGCCCAAGCATTGGGATGCAGTTGCGAAGGCGCGACCTGTAAGTGAGATAACACCTCCATCTCGAACTCGGACAGCGGAAACCTCACTTTCTGATCAGTAAAGTGAGTTTTGTACACCATAAATCGCCACCGTGATCGGAATGCCATAAGAGGCGCGTCACAGGCCCGACGATCAGCACCGATCGCGACCGGTTGCCACTTCGCCTCGTTTGCACCATTTTCAGTTATGCTAAAGCTGGGTTCACCTTTATAGTGGCTGCGTAAGATACCCTTGTCAGAATAGCTTGAAGAAGTTGTGGCCACCACAGGATCAACCCATTCCCGCGCCCCGAGACCGTCGTCCGACGGAACAGTCACCATAAGTCTGGAAAGTCTTTTAAAGTCCTACCTAGGAGCGACAAACACACAGTCAGTCCTCTAAACTTCACTGACGCCAAGAAGACCATTGCAAAAGGAAACGGGATAGTCCAATTCACCCTATCAACACTCCTGTCACCTCCAACACCCCCCACGTCAAGCACAATGAAAGAAAAAAGAAAAATGTAACACAGTTAAATCACCATCAGAATCCGAGGTGTCTGATGAACTTGAATAAAAATCTGAATAGCTTAGGTTCGAAGGCCACCAAGCAGGCGGTATCTTATAAAGCCCTATGTCTTCAAAGATGGCGTCCCACACGCCATTCCTTATAAGGCGACCATCCTCCGGGTGGTATCTACGTAAACGGTTCTCTGTGGACTCATCATACATACGACGATGGAAAGATTTGGGGATGGGAGGAATTAGACCATGAGACGTCCGAAGGGCAACAAAAGAAGGGCGACGGTGGAAATAATACTCTAAAAGACGGTTTTGTCGCTGCCGGTTGATGTTGGATACGGGTCGAATTAATCGTCCAGTTCCGAGATCAGAACGCCACGAAACACGACGACGTGAAGCAACCTTTCGCCTCTTAGAGCCGGCAGGCGAACGCCCGCCAGATCTGGAACTCTCCTCACCAACTAACCCGCGACGCCCACTACGGGGATTAGAACATGACGCCTCAACAGCATACGGGAGCACATGACCTAAAGCTCTTTCAGGAAGGAGCTTTTGAATCTCCACTTCACTAAAGCCCAAAAGTTCGGGTACTTTCCCATGGGGCAACTTCTCAACCCCAGGAATTAAAGGACGACTTGGGGCGCGACTAGCCAGATACTCTCGCATTGTTGGCCCCACTGAACTATCCCCTAGTGCCTCAAAGGCTTCATCAAACTCCTCTTCCTTAATTTCTACTTCCGGTTCAGGAAGTATGAGACCAGGGATAGGTTCTGTAAACCCAACCATCAATACAGCAGAAAAAAGGTGTACAAGACAACCAAAAACAAGAATAGAAACGATAAGAGAAGAAGGACTATACCTGAGAATTCCAGAAAAGGAGAGAAAGAAGACCAGCACTATCACACTAAACTGAGGATAGGAAACAAAGGCTTTGAGCAAAAGCGCAACAGGGTAGGGTTCGTGTAAGGAAGAACCCCAACAAAGGGTCTCCCCCTTTTATACAGAAAGAGGAAGAGGAAGGTCCCGCACAGACACGTGTAAGTCCTCCTCACTTAATCGTACGATGACACAGCCATCTCGCAATGGGCGGTTGAGAAAAGAGGGCAAGGTGGACATTTCAAAAGTACAAGAAAAGGTCTCGCACGTGTAAGTCCTCCTCACTTAACCGTACGATGACACAGCCATCGTGCAATGGGCGGTTGAGAAAAGAGGGCAAGGTGGACATTTCAAAAGTACAAGAGAAGGTCTCGCACAGACACGTGTAAGTCCTCCTCACTTAACCGTACGATGACACAGCCATCGTGCAATGGGCGGTTGAGAAAAGAGGGCAAGGTGGTCATTTCAAAAGGACAAAAGAAGGTCTCGCACAGACACATGTAAGTCCTCCTCACTTGACCGTACAATGACACAACCATCGTGCAACGGGCGGTTGAGAAAAGGGGGCAAAGTGGTCACTTCAAAGGACAGGTCACCAGTCGCGTCACATTAATGCGCTGAACCCTGTGACGCTTGGATGCCTGCAATAAATAGTAATGATGGGAAAACTCATCATTACGACTCCTCGAAAACTGAAAAGCCTCCTAAAGTGCCAGAAGCGGCAGCCTTTTCACTGGGTGTCACCCACCAATCATCGTCATCAATGACCTTGTTACAACAATCACCAAAAGGAATCGCCCATGCTCAAATATTTCACATCGCCAAACAAGGCGTCGCCAAATCCTACCTGCCTCGGCACCAGCCTATGCTCGTTTGAATGCAGATAACTTATCTGCATTAACTGCGGAAATATTTTTCCGAGAAATTATTTAAGACAAACTGTTTGAATATTATGCTTTTGACTTTTGAGCTTTTTATTAACGCAAATTAATGAGTTGAAATGAATTATTATTCTCATGCTATGAACCAAATTTATAATTGTAGTGATTATCAGTTTTAATGACAAAATATTAACCATTAAATTATGGATCATTGAAATGTAAAACAAAACTGTTTGAATTTTATGACTTTTGACTTTTGACTAATGCAAATTAATGAGTTGAAATGATTTATTATAACTATTGAAATCATTTTATATTTGTAAGATTTTAGGAATAGTATAAGAAATATATTTATTTATAATGTTATACATGCTGAGAGATCTTCTATTTTTTGTTTTGTTTTTATAATGGTCTTTGCTCGCGTGGCACGCGAAAAGCATCATGTTTCATGGCACATTCTGGTATGTTGTTTCTGAAGTATGGCATTTCGAAAAATAAAATGATAAAATGTGACATTTTGATGGTTGTCCCATTATAATGAGATTTTTTTTTTTTTTTAACTGATCCTAATTATTTCTTTGAGGCGAATCAGAATCCTCTGGTATCTCCACGGATTCGATTCTTTGAGTCGCCTATGGGACTAATCCAGAGTTCAGATGCGAGTCCAAGGATTATCGTACTTATACCCCTCCCAGATGATGTTGGTGGGATTCGAACCGAGGTCCTCTCCCACCACTCAGTTCCTATGCTACCAGAACCGAGATCCTTTTTCTATTTTATATTCTTCTGCATAATTATCTCATTTTACAAATAACTTAGATATGATTAAATTAGAGGAATCTTTTTATAATAAGAGGAAGGTTGTAGTTACTATTTCTTTTTTTGATTACTTGTTATTATTAAATCGTAACCATTGATTTTTATCAATTTAATGGTTATAATTAATTAAAAATTAATAATTAATTAATAAGTATTACCCAATAAATTATAATCGTTAGATTGCGGAAATTATAGTTACTATCTCTTTTTGTTATTACTTGTTACTACTAACTCGTAACCGTTGATTTCCGTCAATCTAACGGTTATAATTTATTGGGTCATACTTATTAATTAATTATTAATTTTCAGTAAATTATAACCGTCAGATTGATGGAAATCAACGGTACGATTTAGTAGTAACAAGTAATAACAAAAAGAGATAGTAACTATAAGCTTCTCTAATTATAATATTTAATAAATTTTATAAATTAATCATTTAAAACCAATATTACTGCTTAATTTTTGGGTTTGATGTTTGTCCTTTTGAAAGACATAAGTTATATCATTTTAAGAGAGAGATAAACACAAAAAATAAAAATCGTGAGAGAGGAAGTGAGTGATTTTTTTAATTTAAATTTTAAATAAAAAATTATTATTTTATATTTATATCTCTTTTAAAATGACATAACTTTAATTACCAAAAAAAATAACATAACTTTATATAATTCAAAATAACAAACATTTTTTCCTTAATTTTTTTTTTGCCTAAAACATTAATTAAATCTTAGATCTATAATGAACTAGCACATCTCAAATCAATAAAAGAAGAAAAGAAATTATTTAAGACAAACACCAATTAATAAAGTGGGCAAAGTCGAAATGAAAATGTATCAATTTTCAATTCTTCGACGCGCAAGCAAGTAGCAACGTCGGTGAAAGATTCAAAAGTCAGGCATAAAACGACGACGTCTCTTCTGGCATCCTTCTTCGTCTTACCGTGCCGTTAAGAAACACAAGAATCAAACCAAACCAACACAAACACAAATAACAATCGCTAAATAGTGGTTCTTTCAAATCCTTTTCGTTAAATCGCAGTCACTTTGATTCGCATCACAATACAAAAGGTATAATTAATATAACGAATGTTTCCAATTTTATTTTATTTTTTCCTTTTTTTTTTCTCTGAAATTCTCGCTATTTGATTTCATCAACATGAACTTCATTTCTCGCGTTTGGCAGAAACTGGTTTCGATGGTGAAAGCTCAGAATCCGCAGCGTGGGGAATCAACCGCACCCTTAATTGTGAGTCACGTATTTGCCAATTTTTTCATGATTTATTTTTATTTTGTTTTTTATTTTTATTTTTGTAATATATATAAAATTTATATCTATGCACTAAGACTACAAGGTACATATTAGATGTGTCTAGAATTGTGTTTGTTTGATAAATTTTGCATTAAAAAAATAGATTTTACTTTTGTTGTAAATAAATATCATTAGGCAAAGTGATTCCTGTTTAAATATTCATGTTCTTATCAAAAGTTTGTATGAACCGAGAAAATGTTCACATAATCATTGAATGAATTGCATGCATGAACAAAACTAATTACACTTAGGCAGTTAAATTAGTTACGAGGTTAGCTGAGTTTGTATGATTGTGCATGTGGGAAGGATTTATCGTCTGGTTCATTGTCTTAAAAATTAGAATGCATCAATTAATCAACATCAGCATCACTTTTTATCGTAAAAGTAAATAAAATAAAAGAGTAAATACCCTTTTTGGTCCTCAGCAAATTTCACGATGCCCGCTTTAGTCCCTAGCAAATAAAAAGGTCCATCGTGGTCCCTAAGAAATTCAAAATGGACCTATTTTAGTCCTTTTAGGGACTAATATGGGTCTTTTTTGAATTTGTGAGGGACCACGATTTCAACTAAATGGGTCCATTTTGAATTTCTTAGGGACCATAATAGGCCTTTTTATTTGCTAGGGACTAAAGCGGGAATTATGAAATTTGCTGAGGACCAAAAAGGGTATTTACTCTAAATAAAATAAAAGTTCATTGTGTTTTCTGGTATTTTTATGAATAGTGACAAAATTTTAATACTCAAACATGAACTATAAACGAAGTTTGGATATTCACTTGTCTTAAATTACCAGAACTTGTCCTTTAACTGAAAGGACAGGTATCCCAAATGTAAGCAGCTAGAGATCACATTAAGAACTATTGATAAAAATAGACAACAAATGACAAAGTCTAGTAAGTTTGATTGGACACAGGCCACACCGCACAGAGGCAATGTAACTCATTAAGGTTTCTGAAGTAAACACATTCATACCAAAAAAAAGAGTATTATCCAGGATTGGTGCATTCATACATACATGAAAAATGGGGCTTGAGAAGGATCTCCAGGTGCTAAAAAAAAAGTATAGAAGTTACAAAAGAAGTCAAAGGATCACTAGAGATTGTGGTAAATTGGGGTGTTACTGATACCATCAATGGATTTGAAGGATTTTAGAAGAGAGGATGGAGGTGAACTTTGGCCTTCATTTCTCTCTCTAATAGCAGAATGAGAGAAGGGCCAAACCATTGACAATGAGCTTCACCAAAAGACTACATTTTGGTAACAATTTGACAACCCATTAGGGTAAAATCCATTACCATCAGTCCCAAAACTTTGAATCAAATCAGCATAAAACTTTAGCAAGAAATTGCATAATAATCAGTATGTATGCATCAGTGAAGGAAAAAACATGTAAACATAGGAAGTGCCTAACTAACTCATATAGATGAATTTCCAAGCAAGAATCTTACCTCAATTGAGAATGCAGGCAAAACAGCTGTAAAATGGTGGTTGAAGGACCAATATTTGCTCCTTGACTGAGATGAATAGTGAAGTGGCAGAGTGAAAATTTCACCTCAACCGAGAGTGAAAATCTCACCTCAGCACAGTGAGAACTGTGACCCCTCGAAAGAATGGTTCTTCATATATAAGTATGGAATCAGGCAAGATTGACCTATATTAGGAAATACATTTATTCATTGACTAATACATAATTGATTGATCAGAATCTGGAAATAACTAATCCTTATATTAACCGAGACAATCAGCCATAAAGGAGTGAATAATCGGTCTCATTAACAGTGGAATATTCTGCAGAATATATCTGCTGACCATAGCAGAGTATATCGGCTGACAACACTACAACTTCCTTTTCTTCTTACGTTCATGATAAGAAATAAGAATTAAAAAGTGCTGCCTATGTTTCCTGATAGGTACTTGGACTTAGAATAGAAATAATGGAGACCAAGCTACTTACAAGCAGAGGTAGCCCTCTGTTGAAATGCTGCAACGGAAATTCTGCAGACACACATAATTCCTGCGTCCTGCCCATCCCAAAACCTCTCTATATTACTCAATGTTGCCTACCTCCCCCAGATCCTTCCCTCCCCGCTTATCCTTAATCCTAAATAAGCAATTCCCTTCTTTTCCCATACGGGTCCCACACCCCTTGCCACGTAGGCAAGGTTATTGCAGCCCTTTACAGTCCAAATTCCTCGTATGCCCCTTACTCACATTGTCCTCAGTAGCGGTCACTTGAGTTGAGGCCTAACACTTCCTTTTCTAGTTCTCAGCTCAAACCCATTTCCTAAATCGAAATCACTTTGATTCCTAATTTAATTTCAATGTATTAGATGAGAGTTGGTTCCAATTTTTTCTTTGATTTGTTTTTCCTTCTGATCTACTGTGACTATCGCTGTTAATTCTGTGTTTGATTCATCAATATGAGCTTTATTTCTCGCATTTGGCCAAAAATAGTTTTGATGGTACAAGCATGAAACCCACAGCATGGGGAATCAAGCTTGCCATTGGTGGTAAGTCATGTTTTTGTGAATTTTTCACAATTTATGGTGACTTAACTGGGTTTGTTAAAATAAAGTGAGGATTTTTGTCTGTGTCAGAGGGTGGTGGAAGTTAAAATTCTAATGACTGGGCGAATGAATAGGGGAAGTAATTAATGTAAAAAGAAAAAAGAAAAACCAATGTCTATGCAAGTGTTAGTTATTGAAACAAATAATTGGGGTTCTGGTAAAAATTTGTAAGTTAGGAAAAACATGTTTTGATGTCAAAATCTGGGCATTATTGAAATATCGTATTTAGGAATGGGAAATTGTTCTCTATTGTAGCAAAATGGGTTCTGCTGACTAATAGGAAACATCTGTGCTAAAATGACTATGGAGTGAAGTAAATGCACACTGGGGAATACTTTATTAGCATGAATTGTCTATTGCCTGTTTTGCATTGACACCCACCTCCCTTCTTCCTCCCGCCTCCCCTAGGCCCCAGCCAGAAAAGGAAGGTAAGAAAATGCCTTTTGGGTTGGTCAAATATCTTCAGCTTGTTATTAGTTTTTTTCTACTTAAATATTTGGCTTCTTGATGTCTGCATTTCATGGGGAAGGGGGGATTGTTTTTTGTTAAATGCGGATCTTGATTTTAATCATAGTTTGGTTCAAATGCATTATTGCTAATTTGCTATTAGATATAGTTGTACATTTTTTAGTATGTGCACCTTCATTTTATGATTGTCTGGACTAAAGGAATAATAATATTATTAGCTGTTTTACTTAAGAATAAGTCAAGCTTATCTTTTACAGCCACAGGGAGATGGTTTGACAAATGATGGACTTCTGCCTCATTTATTTTCATCTTTACCAGCTCTCAATGAAGCTGCTTCTTATCTTGCACAAACAACATCATACTTAACTGGTTGTTTCTCTGATTATTCAGGCAAGCTTCTTTTGTGTTTTATCTTGTTTTTCAGGGTTGTAGTTTATGTAGATTCTTTTTAAAAGTTTAAGGATTTATGCAGTCTGTCACTATAAGTTTCCATAAATAAAAAGGAAATAATAAAACTGAATTATTATGCAGCATTTCAAAGTAAATGTGGTTTATCTGCAAAAAAAATTGTTTAGAGGTACTTAGCTTATCTGCTTTAAGTAAAAAAAGTAGAAATGCTACATTTAAGTTTTATCCCACTTCAACTGTTGCATTTATATTTGGGAATCAAAAATTGTAGAACCTGATCAGATTGTTTTGGAGTTATGGTCCCCTTCAAGGAAAGAATAATAGAAGCCACAAAGTACATGATTATTATTTTAGAACTTTAATGTGCTCTTGTGAGAACTTAGTCTAATATTCTTAGAGAAGCCCAGCCATAGAAAAATCCATGTTAAATATATGGCCTTTATTTGTGGTTTTCACTTGAGAATTTATCGTAGATCTAATTAGATTCTGGAAATCTACAATTCCTCGTTGTGTTCAAGTCTTCATGACTGCTTTAGTCTGGGTGCGCGACTGTAGGTCTTAGGATTCTTTTTTATATGCCTGTTCTACTTCATCATATTTCACCTGCACATAATTTTGAATTTGTTGAATCTGAATGAATTTTGAGTATTGACTTTATTCTTATATACTTCTATCCTTATAACAGTTATCTGATGCATTACATTTCCTCATGTTATCTTATTTGATTTCTGTCAACTCATGCATTTATAATGACTTTGTCAAGGCCTTGACTTTCGCAATTTGAGTTTAAAGTTTTTTTTCCCCTTGCTTTTTCAGTAGAACATTCCTCTAGATATTCTGGTGCTTCTGACATTCGTGCACAAGAGCTTGTGACCTTTCCTTCTGCAGAACCTGAAGCATCTTCATCTACTGAAATCAATCATATTACTTCAAATAGAAACCATGTAACAAGTGTTGAATCATCTAATGCTGCAACTTTTGCACCTCCACATATTCATGATGAAATCACAAGGACTTCTGGTGAAGATCCATTACAAAATGCCAGTGCACTTGTTGAATCAAATAATACTGGACAAAGTGGCATTTCCATTTTCCAAGGGTACTCTATCAACTCATTCTAAATGTGATTTTTCCTGATTAGGCCTTAAAAATAAAATCTTTTAACCAGATTATGAAGCTTAGCTGTTATAATCTGTCATTGTCGGATACTAGGAAACAGTTTTTTTACTGTTCAAAGTCTTCATAAGTTTTTTAATGAAATAATTTGCATCCAATGTACATTTGGCCAAAGCATATGAATTATGAAGGTTGTGCTGTACGTTTTTGTGGGTGCATATAAAGAAAGGCGTAGAATAGGAAACAGATGGGTTTAAAATATGGTAGTGGTAAGCAGTGGTTGTTTACATAATTAGATGTCATTGCTCAATGGCTGGTAACAGCTGTTATAAACTGTAGATGTGTCAGATTCGCATGACTTATGGTGATGCAGTGACAATACAAACTATGATATGATGATTGAATTTACAAATTTTGACCTTTCCAGAGAATGATTGGTTCTCCATACATGTTTTCCTCTCTATTTGGTGTATCTGTTACTGAAGTGTTAACTGTTGTAAATGCATTGAGATTCACAAACACCAAGTAAGTGAGTTTGAGAAAACTCTTGAGTCCATTCAAAAAATCATGGTATCTCATATTAATTGCTTCTGGTTGGTGTTGTAAATAATTATTTTATTCCTTTAGGTTATTCTAGAAGCTTCTTTGTGCTTAGCCCATTAGGTTGCTTAATCTCTTTAAATAGAGAACCTCTTGTACATGTTTAATACAATTCAATATACAATTCCTTTTTCCAAGTGTTGGTTATTATTTCCTTCAGACAAAACAATTATTATTTCATCTTTTTGTAGAGTGTTTGCATTCAGTTTTTGTTCTTTCATTTTTGTGTCCTTGTCTTTTTTCTTTTGTTTTTCCATATTTTCCCTTTCTTTTCCGGGAGTCTTTGATAAAACAAAAATGTTATTGTAGGATACTATATTTTCAATGAGTTTAAGAAAATAGAGAGTTCATAGGTTCTGCAAATAAAAGTTGACTGTTTATTCCTTGTGTAATTGGATATTACTATGCCTACCATTATCTTATTGCTCCCAGTTTGGGATATTTTCAATTTATCTTCTACATTTATAATTGTTGCATTTTTCTAGATAATAATTGATGATAAACAAAACATTATGCTCTCTGCATCTTTAATGCATTAGGATCTCCTTTCTTGATCTCGGATTTCCATTTATTTGATATGGAATCTTACTCAATTTATATGATATTGATATATACAAGTTTTCTCTTCCGTTCTATATCAAACATTACCCAAAATGATTGAGAGATATGGTTTAAACTCTGCCACTGTATCTACTTAGTGTGTAGACCACCATGATATTCAACTCTAATGTTTTCCTTGTTCTACCTGTCATATAACTACATCTAAAATCCATATTTTTTGTAGAACCATCTAAACTCCAAATTGTTAAGCTCCTTTGACAATTGACATGGGGATGATAAACTATGTTTTAATTACTTCAGCCTGATTGATCGTGCTCGAAGGACTGTGCGTGGATCTGCAGATGATATAGGATGGCTTCAACGTGCTCCGGGGATGCCTCCAGTTGAAGAAGGAACCGAGAGGTTCCTGGAAATTCTTGACAGTATCAGGTAAGTATCCTATTGTTTTATTTTTTTCCAATCTTCTCATTATTGTTGTTTGGTAACTCAATTTTTTTTTTTTTAAAAAAAAAAAAAAAAACTTGGTCAGGCATGGAGTTCACAGGTTACCAAATTCGATTGTTTATCTGTTGATTCCAGGTAAAGTGACTGATTATACTCACGGTCAAGTCAATAATGACCAATCACCCCTTCTACACCCCGACACAATAAAAACCCAAAATCCAATGATGCAGCTGGAATGACATGTTTTTTGACCACCTGGGCCATAGTAAATAGTAGAACTGTTGTGAAAGTATTCTTTTGCTACTAACTCTTTGTCTTTTGCAATGGCAGGTCTGTTCAGTAATCATGGTCCGCTTTACTTTGTCAATACGAAAGTCAGTTTCTCAAAACTGGGTTTGGTCTGTCATATTGCAAAGATTCATAGTGAGGTATAGTATAATAGTAGTTGCAGTAGTACTAGTAATATAATCAATAATAGTAATAAACGATGATAATAACAGTTCTTATAAAAACTGCTAACTCTAATTTTTGTATAGATCATATTGTTATTCTTTTTCTTAAGTCCTATTACTGAATGTTGAAAAATTATTAATTAGGCCTCAGTTGAGAAAAATGCCAGAGAGCTAAAAGAGTATATTGAGGAAATTTATTGGGGTTCAAAGAAGCGTGTTTTGCTTCTTGGACATAGCAAGGGAGGAGTAGATGCCGCAGCTGCTTTATCATTGTATTGGCCTGATTTGAAAGATAAAGTTGCTGGATTGGCATTAGCGCAAAGTCCCTATGGTGGTACTCCTATAGCATCAGATCTTCTGCGAGGAGGACAGCTTGGTGATTATGTAAATTTACGGAAACTTACTGAGATTATTATCTGTAAAGTTATTAAGGTATGTTGATTTCTTCTATTATCATTTTTTTGTTCGTTTTTGTTTGTACTTGAAATGTGTGTTTTCTTTGTTTCTTTTTCTGATCTGGCATATCCTTCTTGCATTTGAATATTAGATCAAAAGGATTTTTATACCTTTTTTTTCTGTAGAAACTTTGACCATCTGTTTTATTACTTGTTATCTGCATTTGCTAAGCAGACATACAGTGCACAATTTCATGTTGCTTGAGGGAATATCTTTTGATTTTATAGACACTATCTGCATTTTTATTTTTATTTTTGGAGGGCGGGGGGATAAAAGAAGAAATTCTTTAAGACAAAGAAGTAAAAATAGGAGGATAAGGAAATCTCCTTATCTTAAGCGCAAAATACTAAACAATAAAGAAAAAAAATAAAAACAAATCAATGGAGTAAAAATGCCCAACCCTTCAACAAATCTGTTAGGGAAACTCCTGAATAAAGATCATCGTTTTACCAAATTGAAGCCAAACACCTACTCTTATCCTAAATCAGCTGTTGTGCCAAAGAAAACTCCTTGAAGATACAAGAGTTATGCTCCAACCGTTATGCATCAAAGTGTAGCATAGATTGCACATTACCACAAAAATTTAGCCTCTTTTACTTCTAGCAAAACCACTAGATCTGGTCATCAAAAGTTGGCCTAAGGACGAAGAGCACACGACATGCCCAACATTCACCAAAATTGTCAAACAATGAGTTAATAGAGAAACAGCAACAAAACAATGTAAGAACAAACAAGGAGCCAATTCTGACCAAACATCACCCATAGTACACATATCAGGCCTCCAAACCTTCAATATTGCGTTTGCATTAATTTTATTATGCTTTGCATAGGGTTGAAAATAGATCAGGTCAGGTTAAGGCTAGGCTTTGCATTAGTAGACCCAGGCTTGTTTTGCAAAACACTGGCTTTAGCTTGGCCTGCTACTTATGTAAATAGACCCAGGCTACTTTGTGATTGAACAAAGCGGCTGGGGTTGCATGAGTGGTAGTCAATGTTAATCATTTAAATCCTTTGAAATTTAGCTCCAGAGGCATGCTTTTTTCCTCCTTTTGTTTAAAGAGTTGAAGATTCCTCAGCCCTCGTAGGGGTGATTTTGTTCTTTTCGTCCAACTTTAGTGGACAGCAGGATTTGGACTATTGATTGCTCTAGTTTAATCTTGCTGGTCATATTTTCAATTCCTTACCCTTTCTCCAAACTGGGATAACTTTGTTCTCGCCTAACCCACTTCTGACTTCCAAGGTTGGTGTTCAAGCCTTTTCAGAATAGCTTCCCCCAATCTATATATCTGTCAGTTGTCGCAAACAAAATTGAATGGTGTCATTATATTTATATGACTTTTTTGCTGGAGTAACTCGTTAATTAAGTTTGCTAGTTTTTGTGTTTTATTTAATGTTGTCATGTAAGCTACATAATTATGTTATATTTTCTTCGTCGAGTTTAGCATCTTTTAGTTTCCGTGAATGTACCACATTATTTAACTCATCATCACTTGATACTGTTTATCATTTATTATTGCAAAGGGTGACATGCGAGCCTTAGAAGACTTGACATATGAAAGGCGGAGAGAATTTTTAGAGAACCATCATCTGCCAGAAGAAGTGCCTATTGTTTCCTTTCGCACTGAAGCTGGCATTTCCCCTGCTGTTTTAGCCACATTATCTCATGTAGCGCATGCCGAACTTCCCTCGGTTGCTTCAGCAGGTGAACCTACAAAACTACCCGTGGTGATGCCCCTTGGTGCTGCTATGGCTGCTTGTGCGCAGTTGCTGCAGTTGAGGTATGGTGAGAAGAGTGATGGACTTGTGACATGCAGAGATGCAGAGGTTCCAGGATCTGTTGTGGTGCGACCTAAACGAAAATTGGACCATGCTTGGATGGTTTATTCATCGCTAAATGATGACCTTTCTGAAGGAGATGCATCTCAGGTGTGTGAGGCTCTATTGACTCTACTTGTTGAAGTTGGGCAGAAGAAGATGCATGAGTTAGCAATGAAAGATGAATGAAGCATTGAAGTTTTCTGTTGTACCTGTACATATTTTTCTCACCAAAACTCTATTCAATTTTTTTATTTTTATATATTTTATCATCTAGCGGATAAAAAGGTTGAAGTAGGTCATAGATGAGAATGTACATTCATATATCCTGTAGAGCGAACATGGCTCACCTTTTTACTTTCTGACGGTCCAAGCAGAACTATGTTTCTGTTTTACATTTTTAAATTTTTTTCCCATAATATGCAAGGTCAAAAGGGATATGCTGATTGGTACATTGAATTAGGCATGGCAATGGGGTGGGAAGAGATTTTTATTTTTTGTATGGTTATGATTTTCTGTATTTAATACTTTCATGAGTATTTGATTGCTGCACGTACAGTAGCTTTGCAGAAATATAAATCTCATATATATATGAGAAATATTAAGGGATATTTGGTGGGATGATTATTTTTAGATGTCTTGGAAAGTGAGGATGAGTTTCTTAAAATCCCATGTTTGGTAGTATATTGAAGAAAATTTTTCGGGAAATTATTTTTTTGAAATTCCATTTGTTGTTTTAAAAGAAGTAAGCAAAATCCAACCAAAAAATACCACCAAAATGGTGATATTTTGACTTTTCCATGAATATGGAAAACTAACTGGAAGCAAGTGATAAAATTAACCTTGATTAAATAGAAGGAGTAACCCCACCTTCTTCGGTAACATGCTTCTCCAACTGTATTAACAAACAAGCTGAAGCAGATGAGGCATCCAAGTAAAAGACTGCACGAGGTTCAGTTGTAATTTTGGTCTCAAAATTGTGAAAATGGGAATATTCATCGTCATTTAAAATCACCCATTAACTTCATGTATTTAAAAAGAAAGAAAAAATCATATTCATGTATTTGCAGGAAAAAGCTCACTATCGCATATATATATATATATATATGAGAAAAGTGTTTGTCATTTTTTTGTCCTTTTAAGAGAGAGAGACAGACACATAAATTTTTTTAATTTAAAATTTAAATTAAAAAAAAATCACCCACTTTCTTTCTCTAATGATTTTCATTTTTCTGTGTCTATCTCTCTCCTAAAATGACATAACTTATGTCATTTAAAATGACAAACATCAAACCCTATATGTGTGTACGTATATATATATATATATATATATATATATGTATGACTTATTGTTTCTTAAGCTGTTTGAGATAAGTTTATCTCCGGCTAATAAATCATAACCGTACAAAGATGGATCAATGGTGATAAGGGAAGAGAGAGAAAAAGAGAATCATAACCATTCAAAGGTGAATAAATTAATATAAGAAAATAAATAAATAAAACGACGTAGTTTTGAAGTTGCCGGAGATAAACTTATCTCAAGTAGTTCGAGAAATATTTTTCCCATATATATATATATATATAGAGAGAGAGAGAGATGAGGGCAAATAAAGAGACAAAAAAAAGCTGATTATTCAAAATCGAGGGTATAATTGTAATTTCAGTTTACATTCTCAATAATATTTTACACTCAATCAAACATTGATTTAGGAAAATTGACTCAATATTTTCGAAAAAAATTGGCCTACCAAATAACTTTTTGATAATATTCATGAAAAAGTCAATTTTCTACCATATTTCAGGAAATTTTGATTTTCGGATAATTTTTTTTTCTCTACCAAACATCTTTAAGCCTTATATTTATCTTTGAAATTATATAGGTATCAGTCTAAACATATTGTCGAGACTAAGAAAAAATTGAGTTATATAAAACCCTTTTTAAAACTGAAAATTTGCTGATAATAATCAGTTAAGTCTCCGAAGATAAGAAATTGTAGAAACATCGCTGCATTGACCAGGAAAAAAAAAAGTACATGTACCAAAAAAGAAAATCTTTGAAATTCACACTCCAGAAAACACCAGGCCCTATAGGTACATACCAGGATTTGCCAGCTAGTTCAATAGGCCAACTGAGATTAGGTTATAAGTTTTAACAGACATTGTGATACACATTTTAGGTTAGCAACTTCCTGCTCGGTGGAGCCAGTGAGGGACGATCGTTTTTCTTTAATTTCATGTAAATATTTAGCTTAGATTTAAGAGAAAATTAATGTAGCATAAGTTCATTCTCCTCAAGGTCAGCTTTCTAGTTTTTATTCTTATTATTCTTTATGTACAAAGATATTTTTTAGTAGATATTAATTATTATCCGAAATCCTAACAGATCCGATTAATCCGATTTCGGGTTTGAACCTCTTGAGTTTTCACCCTCTTCAAGATTTATGACTTTATGAATTCAAAATAACTATCCATTGAACAAGTCAAATTTTGGGGTCTAGTTGGTTTATCACTAGAGCAACAATTCTCGAGTTACAGTTTTTTTTTTTTAAATTCTTCTAATTTGATTTAGTGTTGACCCACAATCGCATTATCCTATTTAAATTAGTGTAAACTTTACTTCCTTCACCCCTCTCAAAAATGTTTTCTAAACTCCACCACTATTCTTGGTGAAGGCTTTCATTAATTTGATTCCTTTAAAGAATCATAAAAGGGTAATACAATTAGGGTTTTGTATCTATAATTTAACATGACCACAACAACTTTCCTACACACACAACATTTTGTGGGACCCACAATTTTTGAAACCAAAAAAAAAAAAAAAAACTCTGGCACGCAAAACGAATCTCTATAACATAACACAATCACTTTTCCTACAACATAACTCTTATTAAACCCATACAATTATCCGTTATAAGAGAAAAAGTATTATCTTCGTGCAGACACATTTCATCGATGGGTTTCATAGCAAAATTTTCTCTCACCTTATTCTTTTTTCTTTTTTTTTGGAGTTACCCAACCCTAATTATCTCTTTGAGACGAGTTGGCTCCCTCCGGTATCCCCACGAGCTTCGACTCTTTGAGCCGGCTATGGGACTAATCCGGAGTGCGGGGAAACAGTGATGGCTAAAGGTTCAGCCCCCTCCCCAAGAATGCATTCAGCGGGAATCGAACACATATCAAACCCCACTAACTCAGCGCCAAGTTCCCAACTGAGCTGCACCCATTGGGTCCTTATTCTTTTTTCTCTACAAGAAGTAATATTATTCTCCTGGAGAATAGTATTACCCAACATAAAAAGCCTTTAACTTTGCTTTTTCATGTGGGCTTTTTCATTCTTTTGTCCCTTATTAATTATTTAATAACCATTTTGTTTTTTATTGCAAGCTATTTACTAATCTGTCCCTCTTTAATTGATTAAATTGAATATTTAATTGATTAAATGGTCAAATGAAGATTTAATTGATTAAATCTTCCTCTTTATCAGAAGAACAACTTTATGCATGGGAGATTTAATCGACTAAATCTTCAAGTCAACGATTTTTGTCTATTTTGATCATTTAATCGATTAAATTTTTGGGTTGATCGATTAAAGAAGGCCAGATTGGTAGATAGTTCTGAATAAAGGATAAAATAATTATTAAATAATTAATGAGGGGCAAAAGGGTAAAAAACACCTCTTTATGTGAACTTCCATAATCATTGTATTCAAAACTAAAAAGTGCTTTAACAATCTGGTGATTATCATAATTAGTTTTTAAACATATCATCACTTTCCTACCAAGTCTCTCTCCCTCTAGACTAACAAAAGAGGAAACTTGCATAAAAAGCATACATGTATCATTTAAGACAAAAGCATCAGATGCATTCTTTCCAACGTGAAAGAAAAAATGAACCTGAACCTTGTCCCCTCTTTCCACACGATATGTTCTTCAGATTTAGCACCCTTGTGAATTCATCAAAAATGGTATTAATTAAACAATCACAAATTACAAAAATGTTATATTCTCTCCATTATTCATTAGTTGAATCTTAAATGTTTTAGAGTTTTTAATTAAAAAAATTATACTCTTATGTTAAATGAGATTAATTTTTATTTGTCATGTTACATTTACCTCGAAAAATATGAATTTCTTCTTTCTTTTTTTTTTTTTTTTTTTAAATTTGATGGGTCTCACTTTATTTAATTTTTAACATGACAGAATTTTTCTTCTATTATGCACGAGAAGTAATCCCTTCTAATTATTAGTCTTTAATGTGCACTGTGCTTCACTTTTATTAAGCTGCACGAGCTTTATTACATTGTATACAAATATGCTGTTCCTTTATTGGGAATCGTAGTATCCTCAAAGATAACGGACAAATCTCTCATATGAAGGGGGTTCACGTGGTCATCATATTTTGGCTCAATATTTATCAGATTTTTCGCATTTTTTCTATTCTCAACATTATTGACTAATAAAGCGTAAAATAAATACAAATTTGTGAAAAATAGTACCCTTAAAAAATAAAGGACCCTGTCAAATTCCAACTGGGTTAGAATATTTTGAAAGCAAAAGTAGTGAGCTTGTATTAATAAAAAAAAATGATATTTATATAAATAGATTCTTATTGGGTTTGTCATTTTAAATGACATAAGTTATGTCATTTTAGAAAAGATATAGACACAAGACATGAAAATCACAGGGGAGAAAGTGAGTGATTTTTTTTAATTTAAATTTTAAATAAATTTTTTTTATTTTGTGTCTATTTCTCTCTTAAAATGACATAATTTATGTCATATAAAATGACAAATATTTTTCCCTTATTTTAATTTTTCCAACAGCTCTAATTTCACACAGATAATTTACAAAATTGTTGGAGATTTTTTTCTCTTTTATGAGGAGAGATCTTTTGACTCCATTTTAAGATCGAGAAGTCTTATTTTTTATTTTAACTGTTGATTAATTTTGTCTATTTAACAATTATAGTTTATTAAATTATATCAATTAAGTAATTATTAATTTCAAACCAATTGCACTTATTAGATAGACAAAAATTAATGATTAAAATATAAAATAAGAATTCTTAATTTGACACTGTATCAAAATAATGCATTGGACTAATTGACCATTTTCTTCTGTTTTCAAATGGGTCACATTTAGACAACTAATAGGTTTTTATATGTGTGATACTAATCGAAAGAGAAGAAAAAGTAGAAATCAGAATAGGTGGTATCAAGAAAGAAAGAAAAAATTGTAAATAAATACAAGGGTCTCCAACTTTTCATGTTGCTGCCAAATTTTTCCTCCTGTGCAACCAATTACAACTATATACTAAGGGTAATACATAGTTATAATATTAAAATTATTTTTTCTCTTGCTGTCACGTCAACCAACAACTTTATGAGGAAAGAAAAAAAAACTTTTAAAATTACATCTATTTACTATATTTCTAATACATAGTTATAATTAATTGCTGCAAAAAATATCTTCTACAATAAAAAGAGAATTATATTTCCCTA